ACTCTTCTAAAAGCTGACCTGAATTGACCTAAATCAATCTTGTGAAGGTCATGGCAGTTATTTACATGTAAGTCTTTTGGTGTGCCGGCATAAACGACTGAACAAATACCGATGGATTTCGAATGAATAAGGAAACCTGATGCATTGAAAAACGACTGCCTTTCCTATGGATGATCTTTATAGGGAGACGTCGCATGGTACAGGCCATTCACCGCTTTTCTCAAGTCTCAAACAATCCACAATGCGTGCATTCCTCATTCAACAGCTGGATTTTCTATCTCCCTATAGCGTTCCTCAGTAGTGGTCTAAAGGATCAATAGGGTATTTCGTGAAACGTTAAAGAATTGTAGCTTATATTTGCTCTGTGCATGTCGAATACTTTGTTCCTTGCTTTAGTTTGATTCTCTATTCACAAAACCATAGACTAGTATGGACGGAACAGTGTCCTCGCTTCTCAACCAAGAAGTATCCCGGATATGGTCATCACCTCATGACGCTCATTCTGATGTATTAAGCAAGAAACTGAGTTTCAAAACATCAACTTCGGCACTTACTTTTGGCACCTATTTTCTATCTTTTCATAAGAAGAGTGTGAAAACAAGTTATACCTGTCCTTTAAAAGTTTTTGATTATTTCTTGCTTCCTACATTGATTTTTTCCACAAGTTAGCATGAACTGAGACTTCATCCAGAAACATATGTACTGGCTTTGTGCCTGAACCTCAACGCACCGTCTGTTGTATGGCCCAAACTATGCTTCGCATTGTGTCAGTCCATTTCAGTCCGTTTAAAACAGCTGTCTTACTTTCTGCATTCCTGAGCCTTTTCAACTCATTTTTGTCGCATCTCCCATTAAATCGGATTTTCCTTACCATCATACACCCGAATTCGGTTCACTCCTTTTCGTCGAACTCATAAGTGAGTGCGCAATATAATGTGTTGTTTACCAACCACGTTGGTACTGCCCATGGGTTGCTTGAAGTTCGTTTATTTCTATTCCATTTTGAGCCAGTAGCTGCATTTGGGCGTTGGCAAAGCTGAGTCTACCAATAAGTCAATCAACGCAAAAGAAGAGGAAACGCCAGTTTCATTTTACCTTTCCAAAGCCACATTTACACGTCGGAAGAAGCGAAACTGTGGTTGTAACTACGCCGTAGCTTGGATTATTTCTTTAGACCTCACCAGATCCCAGTACATCACTCCCATTGTGTATTGGCCCATGAGTTGAACTTATGGTAACGACCGGCACTCAGTAGGTTTACTGAATTAGAGCGTAGATCAGGCTTCACGAATGACACATGGAGATAAGCATCTATCAAAGAAGATGTTGCGAACCCCAGAGGAAAGAAATCTAACCTCCCCAGTATTTGAATGGGATTTGTTTCCAAGAGACCTTATGAACGTTGTGCGTATGAAGATAAGGCACTCCTGAAAATTTCTAAGCAAAATACGAGAAAATAGGCCTTAGTTTAGGAATACTCCAACAGGACGGCTTCAAACTACCGGCCACAGTACTAAAAACGGTACATTTTTATATGTAGACAACGCAAAGATAACGTGGATTGACCGTTTGTCCCAGGATAGTTCAAATTGAGTTTGTGCTAAGCAAAACGGTTCCGTGTATGAAATGGGTAATGAAGCCTTCGTTCCGTATCATCGTTTCCTCAACAACAACAAAAACAAGGAAAACAGTGAAAGCATTTCCCGTCAGCCACGATCTCCTTGATGGTTCTTTCTAAAGATTTGGTAGGTGCATTCTCAGCACTTGGATTCGTCAAAACGTCATTGCTGTTATCACCCAGCTATTTTCCAAAAACAGACCAAGGGTAAGCCATAACAAGGGTAGACGCATTCCCTAACATAAAAATAGCGGACAACTTTCGCATTCCCCTTTAAACGAGTTGTACACCTAATCTGGGGAAATATGTAGTTGTTAAGGTCTATATACATATTTTCGAGTGAGCCGTGTTCTGCATCGGGAAATGTGGCATCCCTCAGATACGAGAAATTCCTTATCGGATTTTAGGAGGCTGACTACCGGAAGGGCGTTGTGGAATAGCCCGTACGAACCTTGGCTAACAGTGACCTCCATCTACACTCATTAGATGAAGTTACATCCGAAAGTATTCAAACCGATACATTTATCGTTCACACTTTCTATAAAGCTGGACCTGGTTGAAGATACTTATTTCATATTGACCCTACCAAGTTAACTACTATGCTGGCACAGCGCTTGACCTCCGGGATGTCTCATTCTTCCCAGCCGAACAACCCACATTAATAACTCTGGTTCAAGTTCAATATGGATACAAAGCGTTCTACTGTATTTTCGTTTATCCTAGCTTCATACACTGCAACCACAAGCTAAGAAAGATCTCTGTGCCGCTTAGAATTTTTCACACCTACCTCACGGGATATCGGTAGATCCACATTGATGGATTCTGTCCAGTGAACATCTGAAACAGACTGCCAAGAATACCGGTTGTTTGCCTTTTCCGCCACTGAATCCCAAGCATCAGGCTGTGGCCACGTCTCCGTGTTTGGATGATGGACGCTGGCACGGTACTGACATAGACGATGGTCCAGCATTACGGTAGTAAAAATTGAATCTATTACGTTGAAGCTATGTACACGAATTTCAGGCTGCATTTTGTCATGTTTCATACACACAGGCTCACACGTTCGTATGCACATGCACGCTAGTATAGATGAACACGCGCGCGCGCGCGAGCACGCTTACGTTCATCACTTCTCATACACTTAATGTCAAAACACTATTCAGCGTGTCATTTACTGCACTGCAGCGAGCGGTCTAGCTCTATCGATTGTCCGTGCAAGTAGCCGAATGCGACCAGAACACAGAGGACGTCTAACCGCACGCGCGTGAACCCAGATGCACACCTATGCACAAACTTACTAATAATGTGGGTATTAAACACTATGCATGTGTGTGGTGTTTTGGAATATAGGCACGTGAGATTGTGGTTTACCGAAGTTGTCTGTACTTCCGTGCCAGTAGCTTGTATTGCTTTGAGGCTGGTACCGAATCCATTAGCTGAGCGTACGTGATGAGGCAACTAATCAAATCACGCTGAGGATGATTCTGTTGTCATAATATGTATGCTGCCTCCTATATTGAATATCTTCGGGTAAATTTAAAAGCAAATCACTACTGATTGATTCAATGTCCCAAGGACTAATGGAAAGTCTCAGAGCACATCGGATTGAGTTCGTTTTGCACATAATCCACACGAATAAGTTAAACCCCAGGTTTCGTTCAGCACGGTCGGGGATTTCCATGCTCAACTCTTCACGTGCTCCATCCATTTGAAAAGTTCTGCGGAAATTCCTAGTATTCAAAGTAGAAACAGATAGTCACTTGTACACACACAGAAATGGAGCAAGAAACCATTATACACTGGGATATGTGATGCGAAGGAGTGAGAGGCCTCGCGGTTAAAATACAGGGACATATTTTTTCACGGACTTCTTGACAAGAAAAAATTTATACCTATGGGCATGTACGATATTTCCTAACGCAACCTTCAGGAGTCCCAGGGGTATCCCCACATCCAGATTACAGCCACATTTTGCGTTTCCCGTAAGCTAGTTTACCTAGCAAGTTTCCTCCGATATTTCATACTGCTCTGAGAAACGGGACTATAGTTGGACATATTTATCATAGTGCCAGTTAACTCTCAGTTAACTCATTTGCCCATTTGCTTGGCGTTAAGCGAATATCATTTGAATGCCTAATCTATGATAATCCTGAGTTAAAAACGTTGCACAGTGATCAGCTTGTTAGCTGCAAGAGGGACGAACGCGCCAGTCCGCTATCGGAGAGTTCTCATCAGCCTCTTACTAAGCGCTGTGTGTATATGTTTAGTGTACTTTGATGTATACGTTGGTAATAATACAGAGACCAAAGTAACTTGATTCATTAAATGCAAGCCCCCCCAACACAAGACTTGAACCACTCAGCTTTTTTTCGTTCAGTCAGCTCAAGCAAATTAAGCACTCGTGTAACACGATGAGAAAGGTACTGTGACCAATTTTACAGGTTTTGTGAGAGGCCTGATGGCATTTCGCTGTCACCGACACAAGAGCATCACAAAGCAAGCTTAAATCACCGAACCAGAGGCAGGATTGACTAATTTCACCAAAACAGTGTAAATGTTTTGATTGTGTTTTCATATCCAGCACCCCTTGAAAGCTTTACCTCTTTATACTAAGGTAAAGGTAGGTTTGTGAGGTGAAATCTTGCTCGGTAGTTGATAAGGATAAATGCAAACAGCCGATAGATGAGTATCAAATAAAGAAGCTGATTTTGAAATGGGGTCATTTTGTCTCCGGCTGGTACACAACTATGTGGTACGGGAGCTGGAATAAGTGTTTTACTAAAGGGAATCAATAAGTGGTCTCTACGGAACAATGCATCAGTCAAAAGGCGCCCATATTGTATTTTTCAAACTTTAACATAGTTTTTAATGTTCTTATTTCTGCTTTTTCACTCCATTCAGGGTTGTGGGTATATTTTCCGGGCAGTTGCGTGTAAATGCTTTCAAAGCAGTTGCTAAAAGGATGTATCTTATTTGAGGCCAATTTGCGGGCTTCCATGGTACCCATGAACGAATAATTTCACTGAATTTCTCATTTTGTTTCAGCTGTGCATTTTTAATGTCTGGTTATACATACATATGTATATATGATGAGTAGACAGAACCGACATACTTGTCTCTTAGCTTCATAACTACAGCGGGAGAATAATGTCCCGGTGACTGAGACTAGCTGGAACGAAAGAATTCGAAATGCAATGGGAGTTAAAAGCAGTAAATTAAAGGCAATTCAGTGTGGTTTACGGAGAGTTCGGTGCACATATAGTCCTGACCAATCGCAAATCACGGCTGTTGCAACCAGTGGTAAAATTAGTGTGATTTGCAGTTCGAAGAGTGACGTTGCTACAACCCACTCGAGTGCGAGTGAGTCACGCACGAAATCAACAACAACAGCATTCCAAGATTTATCTTTTGCGTAGAGCCAAACTTATGCTGTAGCATAGTTTGTCTCATCAAAAATATCCCATCGCTAGGATGCAGTTCGGACGCAGGCCATCCAGATTTTAACGCAGGCCAAGTGCGGTCCAAGTTTGTCTGATACAACTTCATCTGATGGTTTTAAATAAAAATCACGGCTGTTGCAACCAGTGGTAAAATTAGTGTGATTTGCAGTTCGAAGAGTGACGTTGCTACAACCCACTCGAGTGCGAGTGAGTCACGCACGAAATCAACAACAACAGCATTCCAAGATTTATCTTTTGCGTAAGAGACAAACTATGCTGTAGCATAGTTTGTCTCATCAAAAATATCCCATCGCTAGGATGCAGTTCGGACGCAGGCCATCCAGATTTTAACGCAGGCCAAGTGCGGTCCAAGTTTGTCTGATACAACTTCATCTGATGGTTTTAAATAATTGCCTTAATAGTATTCTGATTCCAGGATTCTATACACCTCACATTACAACCCAAATATTGTCCTTTAGTTGCTTGACGGGGCTTTCAAAAAGCAGACCGACGGCTTAACCAAAGATCACAAAGATGTCGTTCCAGCTGTTGGAACCTGAGTGACAAAGGCAGGAACAAATTTCAGATGGATAATCTGAACAGCAATACATATAAGCACGGCAAGGATGTGTTTATTCAATGCCAAATAGGTGGTCGTCGAGAGACTTGTCGACAAAATGTGAGTAACTTTGAGTTACAGGAAATGTCAGTTTCCACTCCTTCCGGAACACTTCCCTAGGAAGCACACAGAAAATTCGACAGGGAGGTGCATTAGGAATAATACCTTAAGAAACTTAGGATGAGCCAGTGATCAACCCTCAATAATGGATGCATTGGTCTGTATGTACTCCACCAAACCTGCGTTGGAACTGGAACAAGAACTCGATTTGAAAGCATTTTCCGTTATGCATAGCAACTCCAAGCAGAATGTCTCTTCCAGACGTAAATCAAATCCAACAGCTTTAATCTTTTTACTCCGAGATGTTCGGAATTTGCATCTTCGAAAGCTATATAACGTAAAATCGTATGGATTACTTCTGCGAGTTGAGAACAGGATAGTCTACCCAGAGAAGAGGATATTTTGTCTCAACAAAAAGCGATGATTGTGCTGAGGTTTTAGCTTGTCTTAATACCTTGTACCAGCCGACTACAGTGGTGATTACCAGGGTTAAATAAACAACCGTTAGAAACTGCAACCTCAAGAGCTGAAAAGCCAGTCACACTGTTGTTAAGCGCTGGCGTTATTGCAACTGCATAACACGTATTGTCTTTATCTACAAGCATACTTACATCAGGAATCACAGTATTTATATGCAGTACCAATCAAACATATGATTTATTCAAAGAATTTCAATGCAATCTCTTAAAGAAATTTTTTATATTCAGCACCCGAGGTACGGTTCCTAGTTGACAGGATATTTTACGGCCAGATGGAGTCGTCATGGGAATTTCCCTGGGCCCGAATATGGAGTATATGTTTTTGGCCAAGCTAGGTGGCACTACAGCTAACGCGGCAATATCTACTTTAAAACGCTTTGTGTTTGAAAGAATGAGCCCGTATTTTTTGGAAAATCCAAACAAAACTCACCCATTTGTAATGTA